TTAAATCAAGAAAAAAACATTCCTTCAGCTAAAAGATAGACAAACAGAATGCAGAGTAATGGCTAACAGCTGTGTAGGTAAGAGTGCAGAGGCAAACACAGGGAACCCAGCCCTCAGCCTTACAACAGGAGAGCTACGAAGGGTACAGATCTGAGAACTCCAGGTGTGAACAAAATGGCTTATTTCTTATGGTAAAATTCCCAAACAGGCTACTCAGTTGTATTTGTCAACCTAGTAGTTTCTCCAGGAAAATTGTCTCACAGCTGTGTTCAAGGCAGAAATTAAGGTTGCTGTGCAGCACTCCAGCTTCTGACTCTCTGCACTATTTCTCCTCAAAGGACATGGAGGGGACAGATCCTAGTCTAACAAGACATCAACATCCACCTGCTTTTCTTCAATGAATACCAGGAGGATTTAACCACAATACAGAAAAGCTGCTCTTTAATTTTCCTTGACAAAACGGAAGTAAAGGCAAAAAAAGCAACCAACACCAGTAGAGTCCCTGGGAAGGACATGGTATTCGTCAGTCACAAATATGCAGGAAACCTACATAAAATAAGGGACAAAGAGCATCTCAGAAAAAAAGCACCTACGTAGAGAGCATGATGTCATCCATTACACACACATGTGGAGGGAAGGGATCATGAATGGGAGGATGCACATCATGGCAGCAAAGGCATTGCTGCTGACCATGGAGTACCACTGCCCTCCGTTATATCCCAAACATGTCCACAGCCAGGGAAAAGAAATTCATTACCTACAGACTCTCTCCTCAAATCCTCCATGTCTTCTGGTTTTATTGTGGTTTACATTATAAAGTATCCTCTGGCAAAGAAGTTGGAGCAGCAAAACACAAGAGATGTCTAATCTCTTCATCAGGTCAAAGAACCACTTCATTGCCCCACAATGGCCCTACACTAACACATTTTAACATATGTGTAAATGAAAATAAATTAGCTCTTTTTTCGATTTTGGTCTCACAGAAATTAGGCAGAAGCATAACTCTATCTTTTCCCTCTGGAGGGGGATCTGGAGCTGCAGACTAGGGCAGTCAAGACAGAAGAGAGCCAAGGGACCTCCCAACAACTCCTCAATACACATTTACAGCCTCATGCAGTTTCTCTGGCAGAAAAATCCTGGGAAGGAAGGCAGTGGTCCTATCCTCAGGTCACTCTGAAGAATGAATTCCACCTAGCCAGGAGGGCATGCCATTTAGGGCATGACATTTATAGCTCTCAGTGGGCTCCAGGCTAACACATTCATAAAAGCCCTGCTCCCTTCCTGCAGTCACTGGGGGGCAACAGGGGAGGCATTTCAGCTGCAGTGAAAAAGAATAGCCTGGTTTATTCTGATGTGCAAGTATCATCACTACTGTGGGAGAAATGAAGTGGGTCAGCCAGTCCCTCAACCCTCTGTGCTGCACACAGTAAGTCAATCATCCCCATCAATGCCGAGCATCAAGTTCACCAGCCACACGTTCCTCATATTGAGCTCTGTGAGGGTTTCTCAGACATGCACAGAGCTCTGCCTATGGCAAAGTGTCAAATGTATTACTCTAAGGAGATCTTTGTTTTGGAAACTTGCTTCTCAACTACAGTTTGCTTCCTCTTTAACAGTTTTAAAGCCAAGGAGTTTTCTTTAGTAGTTGCTTTTGTTTTTAGTTTCTACTGCTTGCTCAGCTGAGGAAGATAACAGCTTCAGTTTTAGGTCACCCATAGAAAAACATGTCTGGTGATCTCATCTTGATCCCCAGTGGGTAGCCATCCAGATCACAAAGAGCAGGAGAAAAATTTGGCCCCACTAAGCAGATCTGGAAGATTGGGGCGGGGGGGCAGGTGTTTGTGTTTTCTTTAATAAAGTTGGAATATCTGGGTGTTTGCTACAGGCCAACACTAAGGTGCATTTGTAGGCTTGTGCAAGTTCCAGCCAACATTGCTTGGCCACAGTCCTTGCTTTTGTAAGAACTGACATTGACCTTTTCTCTTCAAAGGGTCAGAATCATTCATTCGTATGTGTTACAAAACATAACAGCACTTTGTCCTTGTACAGCAACTCTCATCGCTACAGTTTCCAAGTGTGGGCAGGTACTGAATAACTTTTACATTTGGACCAAATTTACAGTGTTTCATCCATGCTTATTTCATGACAAAAAAATGGTACAGGAAAACACATAAATTAGAAACAGTATCAAAAAATTATGAGCTGCTGCTGCCTTCATGCAAGCTTGGCAGATTGTTTGCTTCTTTCCCTTCATTAGCTGGTTGCCCCATTCTTTCTAACCTAATAACAACATTTTTGCAGTAGAGGAAAAAGAAGGGGAAAAAAAAGGAAAAAAAAAACCAAACCAAACCAAACCAAACAAAAACAAAACAAAACAAAACAAAACAAAAAAAAAACCCCACACACACTTGAGAATAAATAATTACGTCCAAGGCAACTCTCAAGAAAAAAATCATGGCAATTATTTTTTGCATCTTCCCCAAGCTACCTTTTTAAAATACGCCAGTCAAGCCACATATCCTTCACTTTAACATTATTGATGTACAAGATGGAAAAATAACTTATCGTTGTTCTACCTGCAGTCATGTCACCTCCATATGGGATTTCATTGGATCCCATAGGGTAAGAGGATGAACAGCACCCTTCTCCTTTAAGGACTTCACAGCATTTGTCATCTTGTTCTTAAGAGTTACATGCTGCAAGATCTGCAATTTTATAAGTAAGACAGAAAACCCAAACCCTAACTGCTTATGGTTATGAATACATTAATTCCATGACACATTACATTTCTGGAGGTTTGTTTCACAAGATGGCTGCAGAACATTCCCTTCCTAGTGTTGGTGAGAACAGCAGAACGGCAAAGTCACCCATGGTCCCCTGCTGGGGAGAAGGCACTCAGATCTCATCATGCAAGTACTCAAGCCACTGAGCACACACTGGGGCAAGAAGAGGTGTTGTCAGAGCACCCAGAGCACAATGCTTGCTCCCAGACAACTGTTCTGTATGGGTTTCACTGGAGTGAGCAACCGACCAGCCAAAAAAGCCATTTGCTGTTTCTTTGTAAACCATTTAAAATATTATCTTGGTTTTATTCAAAGCAATCTAACAACAACTCATTTATGCTGAAAGTGTTAGGGAAACAAACTTCTTCCTTCACCTCTTTTAAAAGGCTCTAACAGAATGTATCATAAAAGAGCTCTGAGGATTAAGCAAACCACAAGCCTGCCAGAATTGTCAGGGAGCATCAACTTTTCTCTGAAGGCACCTCTCTTTTGGATGTCCTAGTGATCAGCCTTCTGTTCCCCCTTTTTGCTTCCTTCCACAACACTTTGCTCTGCATTACAAAGCACAACAGCATTTTACATGAGCTCAGCACACTCAGCAGCAGCCTGGGACACTCACTGCAAGGGGATTTGGTGAATTAATAAGGAAATTATGAGACTGTAAATTTAAATTTAAAATTTAAATTTAAAAGAAACTTTGGCTGTATCAGTTGTTAGTGTGCTTTCTAGTTTTATTGCCATGGACGGCTGAGAACTAAAAAAGCACACTAGTTTACGTTCTATAATATCTTCAGATTGGTACACACTGCAGACTATCGCTCAGAAATTTGGGGTTGAGTGCCTTAGCACATTTTGTATTAATTATGTTTATGATAGCATTACTGTGTAAGGGAATAAGTATACAATACTGCACTTATTGATGTCATTACCCATGCAGGCCACTGCAACCCAAAAAATTCCCACTGTACAATTCTCATTTGTCTTCCTAAAAGGTTTATACAAACTGCTTCACTTGTCACTGAAGCAAGTGCACAGTTTTTATTAAATATTCACTCTTATTCACTATCTTCCCATCTCCATGGTCCAAAAGAGCAGCTGACCACACTGTTAATAGGTAAGTTAGTGTGAACCAGCTGCCAGTAGTTCATGCTTGGAAATTTTTTATAAAGCAGGCAAGCAGACAAGTCCTAACCAAATTTGCACTGATGATGCACAGATAGCTTTTTACACCATCCAGATCAATAGAAGAAAATACTTTTATCCTTGTTTGCTCGCAGGTAGGTCCCAAATGACATGTAGTTAAGACATTAAAACAGAAGTGGATAAAAAACAAATTGTATACAAGAAAAGGTGTAAAGTACCAGCCATTCAGGATAAAAGACACTATGAAAATTATGGAAAATTATTATACTACGAAACAAAACCAGCCATGTGTTTTTATTACACATGGCCAGTTTTATTGCTGTTGGAAGTATAATTCATTGGGCTTTTGCTGTGTGAACTGCAATGCAGTAGGAGTTGCATATGCATCTTCTCCTTTCCTCCAGGATGCTCAAGGTGGAAATGAAGTCACTGCCTCTCCCACTCATGACCCTCCACTCAAAAGAACAGTCTTAATATACCTTCCTGAAAGGATGAATTCACTCTTGTAGTCGTATGAAATACAGTACCATAAATACTTCATTTATCAGGAGATTTTATATGCCTTTTGAGAGTGCCCCATATGGCAAAAATTCCTTTAGTCTAATTCTTGTTTACCCTAGCATGTTACTTCCAGTGACTTTGTTGCTTATCTTGTCTGTGATATGATTTATGTTAACTCATTTCCTGTAAAAGCATACACTAATAAAATGAAAAAAATGTGAAGAAAGAGCAGGCCAGCTTTGAATTGGCATGGGAAATTGTCATAAGTAACTGCATTCAAATCCTTTTAAATTACTGTTTCAGTGAACCTTTAAGGCTCTAAAGGGCATTTTTCCCTTTTTATACAGTTCCCAGAAGATCATTTCATTGGTGCTGTTTCAATAAACCCCTGATGCACTAGGCAACCTTGTACTAGAAAGGACCTGGGTCCTTTCTTTAAAGGACACCTGCTGTTCATGCTAAAGAAGGTAGGAACAAGTTTCATATACCTCCCAAATAATCTTCACAAATAGATGCTTAAAGAAAAAACTCTGCCAGAAACATCATGTGACATCAATTTGATAACGTTTTTGCCTTTTAATAGGACCTTGGAACACCTCTGCGTGTTCTGGTTGGGACTGCAAACCTCTGGGGATCCGCCATGGCTTGTACTTGCATGAAGTCAAGCCAAGGAGGCAATGTTCTCCTTCAGGTGAAGGACTCTGACACCAGTCTCCATGATATCCCTGGCAGAGAACAATTCCAGGTTCAACCTGAAAGACACAAAGCAGACAGCCAGAAGATTATTTAGTAAACAGGAAATGAGGCGTACCATACCATGTTAGTGTTTGATGAGTTTATAATGTGTTAGTAAATTACTTCAAGATGGAAATCAATCTGCTTTATTCGCAAATGTAAAAAAAAAGATGTAATTACCCAATAAAACTGCTTATCAAGCATTGCCTTGCTTTGTGTGAGATATGTGATAAACTCTTATCCTGTGCATGACTTGGTCATCCTAGACAGAATATCATAAGACTCATTTATCAATTTACATGACTTTTCACATTAAAAAAAGATTTTTAATCTGAGCTGAAATCCTCTGGAATTCTGGATGATATCAAATAGTTTAAAGTTAAGTACTTTGGAGAAATTCAGGCTTATGCATATCATTGCAATAGGGGGGTTTTTTGCAGCATTAGTAGCTAGAAAGACAGCCTTTTCAAAGATAGTTCACATATGGATTTTTCCAGTATTTTCTAACACTTTTCAGGTTCTAGGCAAAGTTTCAGGAAATGTATATGTATAAAATTGAAAAACATGTACCCTCTATTTCTGACACTGGGTGAAATGAAAAATAAAGATACTTTCTGCAAAATTCAAGAATAATTTTATGGAACTCTAGTAGGCCAGAATCTTACAATTGAAATCAATGGACTGCTGTAGTTACAAGCTTGTTTTATAGTTTCTATTTTCAAAAAAACCCCCGAACATTAATTATTCTGACTATGACCTGGACACACCATAAGCCAGAGTCTCCTGGTCAGACACAGGCTTACACAAACCACAGACAACTGGAGCATACATTTGCCCACATCCTGTTTTACCAATGTACCTTTCATCTCTGTGGTAAAAGTAACTCTTTCCATATGTTGTTAATTTTTGTCCTCCCTCCTGACATACAAAAGATTCTTTTTTCAAGCGAGTTACTCTGCTGGTTTTGTGATGTGACCACCTGACTAAGCGTAACTGAGCTGAGAAGACAATGCACTTCATACATGGCACCTACACAGCTGTGAGACAAGTTTCTTCTTCTAAACTGGGATGGATTTAAATGAATCGCTAAAAAGAATAGTCATATGTGCACCAAAACACATCATACCCATCCCCAGTTATATGAAACAGACTGCAGGCAATGAAAATTTGGAACACCATCTTATTACAGATCCATGTTTCAGGGGACCAGAACACCAATTTATAGAAAAATTAGCCTCTCTGAACCGCTCTTTCCTTCTGAGTTGAAATGAGCAGTAATTTATCTTACAAATCAAAGTGGCTGAGTGCAGAATTTAGTATCGACTAGTGAAAACAAAACCTAAAAATTCCAGAGAGATGGATTTTTTCATTCTTAATCTCACTGAGTGCTACCACTTAATGAAGTACAAGCAATGGAACTCAGAGGGAACCACAGATCCTGCTCAGGACAAGCTGCTGTCAGAACTGTGCTGTTTGTTACGTAAAACACTCCACCAGAGGAATTTTATTCTTCCTAAATGAGTAGATTCCTTTTCATCTCTGCCTCTTTTCCATCTTCATACACCAGATAAAAATCTGTATTTGCCTGCTTTAAGCTTTGTCTAGAAATACTACACACTGTACTACTATGAAAAATACTGTACCTAGCACAGTGGACCCAATGTGAAATTCATTTCACATGAATAATGATAATAGCTACTTCCTGAATTACATGAAATATGTGCAGACACCAAATAATTTTTGAATAAGAGCAATATGAATACCGTTGCATTCCGACAGATCCTCGAGTATATATCTTGAGTATATATAGCAGTACATAGGTTTTCAGTTTTTACAACTTCACAGTTTTGCTCTGTTGCATAGAAAGCAAATGTTCTCCATTATTGCAGAAGCCTATGAAATATCCTTATGTTGTGTCAAATGAGCCATTTCTAAAAATGTAAGGCATAGCTCATTATATGCTTCTGTGATCTTGGTTTTGTCTGGGATAATTAAGTGTGTGCATTGTCTACATCCACTATATACCTTACATTATTATCAGTGACCTTCTTCACATGTAAGAACACACTAAAGGCTGCCCTGATTCCCTGCTCATCATCAGTGACATTTCTTTCAATGAGTCTTTTGTCTGTTGCTGTAAAGAATAACCTTGTTTTTGGGAGGTGGAGGAGACAGGCAAAAAAGTTATTTTATGAAAGACTGTTACAAGGCCAAGGCATCTTTAAATAGAATTGGCTAAAGAAAGCCTTTATCAACATATTGCTTCTCAGGAAAACACCAAGCCAAACTGTAGTTGTATCTATGAGATCATAAGAATCAAGGATTGTTCAAGTCAGAAGGGACCTCAGCAGTTGTCTGGACCAGCCTCCTGCCGTGAGCTCAAACCACATGCTTGGGCATATCTCGAGTCAAGTCTTAAAAGCCTCCAAGAATCAAGGCTGTGCAACCCCTCTGGACAGCCTGTGCCACTATCCCACTCTCCTCATGGTGAAAAGGTATTTCCTCATATTCAGTATGAATTCCCTTGTTTCAGCCTGTGCCAGTTGTTTCTTGTCCACCATGCACAGTTGTGAAGACCATGGCTCCATCTTCTCAATGATCTCCAGTAGTTATGGGGGGCAGGGAGGAAGAGGCACACTGTTAGGTGCCTCCAAAGTCATCTCATCTCCAGGATAAACAAGTCCCAGTTGTGCAGCCTCAAGCATGAGTGGTGATCATTCCAGTTTGTCAACATCTGCAATTCTGTTGAAAGTACATCCCATTGTGTCCTCCTGTCATTTATGGAAATGTTAAACAGGCTAGTTCTAGGGAGAGACCCTGCAGTGCTCTCCTTTTTAAGCCTCCACCCTCCAAGGTCAACCACCCAAAGAGTTATTTTACCATCTTGTTGTTCAGCCTCTAAACTGTACCATCTTATTTTAGATACAAGAACAAGATGAAAGACAGTGTCAAAAGCCTTGCTAGAGTCAAGGAAAATAGCATCCACTGCTCCCTCCTTAACCACAAACCCATGCATTTCTGCACAGAAGGCAATCAGGTCAGTCAGGTACAGTTTACTTCCAGTAAATCCATGCTAATATAACCACTTTTTCCTTCATGTGCCCAGAAATCTGTTCCAAGAGGACTCACTTCATGATTTTCCCAGTAACTGAAGTGAGGTTGATTGACCTGCAGCTCTATAAACTGAACTTTTGGGTTATCTTGAACATAGCTAAAATACTTGTAATTCTGACATCATGCAGGCATCATCCCCAAATCTTCACAGCCTTTCAAAGATGAAAGACAGCAGCCTTGCAAAGACATTGGCCAGCTCTCTCAGCATTCTGAGACGCAGCCTATCTGTTTTCATAGACTTCTATGGCTCAAGTTTTCAGAAGTAATCCCTCACTCAGTCCTTGGCTATTGTTGGTGGTTCCCCTTGAATCTTTACACTAACTTTGGAGACCTAGGAGTCCTTGTTTGTAGACAGTGAAGCAAACAAAGCATTTAATGTCTTACCTATGGCTGCTGTCACCAAATCTTGTGTCCTCCTCCACCTACCTTCAGACCCCTAAACCTATTCTGCAGTTGCAGACCTGAGAGTGGAGGAGGAGAAATTGTTTTCTTACTGCCAGGACTCACAGGTCCCCAGCCTTCCCCATCACAGTCCCCTAGCACCCCTCCTCCTGTGTAGCTGGGGGCTCAAGCTGTTGTTAAAGGCATGTTTAACATAACTTTGTCAGGATCAGCCTTCCCAGAAGCATCCAAGATCCAAAGATGGCACAGGAAACCTGCAGAAGAGCCAGAAGGAGAGTACAAATGGTGAACAGGAGCCTGTAAAACATCCCAGGCACCTACATGTGCACTAGCCCACCAGCAGCCCTGCCAGCTGCCCAAGCAGTGCTCACAGCTCTCCAGGTTGTAGCGCTGCCCTTGGGGCAATTAGACAGCAAATGTACACCATACCCAGGCACCAGCCCCTGCAGGCACATCCCCAACATTGGTGGGTCCTCCACTCCTGCACAACCATGAGCCTCCCCAAATGCCTCACAAAGACACTTCGTTCAGCTGGTGACTGTGACTGCTGCTGAATATTTGCGTTTATGCAACAAAGCCCTCGGTTTCAAAATGCAATTTCAAGCAAGGACATTCATTTACCATCTTGAAAATGCCTTTTAGTATGGAATAACACAGGTTGCTTACATTTGGATTTTATCAAGTAGATCTTTTTTACACTAATAGATTTACCTCAAGGAGAGACACAGAGCTGTAGCCACACTACAGAAATAGATCTAGCATAAATTTTTCTTTTATAGGGCATGTGAGAACATTTTCTCCCAAAACATAATTCATTATAGTAACATAATACGTTAAAATATTAAGGCTGTTTCACCAAAGTTATGATATCCAAGTTTCAGGTTCCTTTCAAGACCACATCCATGAGACTAGATATAACATGGAACAAAGACAATCTGCCTTATGATCTAAATAAGACAGTCATTTGGTAAAAAGCCAATATCCCTGAATGGTAATCTGTCTTGAAATGATTCATGGAAATGTAGTTCAGGCCCTGTTGCTATTAAATCCAGTGGAAGTTTTTCCACTGAAATAAATTGTTAAGGATCTAACCATAACAGATCTAATCATAACGCGGAGGTTTTCATAGACAACACAGTACAAGAGAGCTTTTCTTTAAATAGTTTTACTCTGTATTTTATGTAAGTTTCAAATGATTGAAAGGACTTAAAGGTGGGTGGGAGAGAAGCATAGTCCTAATTCAAACACGCATGAGGGATCAAGGTGCATGAAAACACAGGCAATGTTGCTTGCTTGGATTTATTCACAGATTTGCCCTCTTCTGGTTTAGGTTGTTACTCCCATCTTTCCCTCTGTGCACTGAGAATGTTTACCCATCGACTCGCCACAGGCCATCTTGCTTGGGACAGCCCTAGGTTTTATTTGGGCTTCTTGTAAACCACTGTTTTACTACCCTGACTGACCACTGCATCTTGTATAAATAGTTCTCAGGAGGATGTTT